ATTATATACACTACTTTTCAAAAGTTTGGGGTCAGCAAGATTTTTATTTTTTTTTTGTGGAAGAAATTAATAGTTTTATTTAGCAAGAATGCATAAACTGATCACAAACTGGTTACAAAAGATTTCTATTTTTCTGAACTTCCTATTCATCAAATAATACAGAAAAAATGTATCATGGTTTTCAACGTGAAAAAGTATGAAAGCCTATTTCTGCCACTGGAAATTGAAAAAAAAAAAAAGGTAATTGCGACTTTCTCACAATTCTGAATTTTTTCCCCGCAATTGTGAGTTTACATCTCGTAATTCTGACGTTTTTCTCAGAATTGCGTGATATAAACTCCAAGTTGTGCATTATAAAGTCAGTATTGCATGATAAAAACTCGCAATTCTGAGAAATAAAGTGAAAAATAAAGATTCTGAGAAATGAAGTTTAAAAAAAGTTTCACAGAATTGCGATTTTATATCTCGCAGTTGTGAGTTTCGCAATTCTGACTTTTTTTCTTGCAGTTCTGACTTTTGCACGTTTGTATTACGCTATATAAACTCACAATTATGACAAAGAAAGTCCGAATTGTGAGATAAGTCGCAATTACTTTATTTTTTATTCAGTGGTGGAAACGGGCTTCCATAGAAAAGTTTCTTGAGCAGCAAATCAGCATATTAGAATGATTTCTGAAGGATCAAACAATGTGACAAAGAGGACTGGAGTAATGATGATGAAAATTCAGCTTTACATCACAAGAATAAATAACATCTTAAAATGTATTAAAATTGAAAAGTTATTTGAAATTATAATAATATTATTTCACAATATTACTGTTTGGACTTAATTTTGAGACTTTAAAAACCCTGACCCCAAACTGTAAAACGGTAGTGTAAATACTGTATATATACTTTAGAAATGTAAAGCAGCTCCGGATCTGAACTGAAGCGCTATATAACTTAAAATGTTTTTCAATGACCTAAAAATTTGAAATCTACAAAGTGAAATTAAATATTTATTTGTGAAGTGATGGAGGGTGAGCATGGAAAGTTTCAGTGCCGTGTATGTGGGTGCTCTATTCACTCACGCTTTATCGGATTTGAAAGATTTGTCACAGGCAGGACAGTACAGGTCATCATAATAGTCGTTCATTTCCGCGGCACCATCTGCCTGCACCACATCTGACAAAAGTCATACAGCGGTGAGATATGTGTGCAGTCCATTACTCACAAATGTTTACAGTATAATTGAGGAATTTTTCATGACTTGGTGACGCACCGGGAGTCACTGCATTTACGTATGAATCACAGATGATTGCTCTGACTCGTCCTCACTATTTATAGTGACCTCAACAAGTGTTTGCACACTGATGTCACACGTAAAATATCTGAATGTCACTGTATAGATATAAAAATAACAAAACAACTTCAACAGAATTCGTTTTGTGACATGCTGTGCTTAAAAAACTGCTTGCAATATCGTAAATATAGGTTTTGGTTATGTTTTTAACCCTTCTGAACATTTTTCAGTCTCAAAATCATCTAATGTGCACTGAACCTTTGACTGGCCCCTGAACCTCTGACCTCCTCTACCCAGAATCCACTCAAGTATATGTGTACATGACATCAAGCTCACCTCCCCTGTCTACATTTGCCGTCTCCTGCCTGTTTTCCACCTCCTCCTCGTCCTCTTCACTTTCTGATGCGTCACCGAACTCTTGACCGTACTGTGCTTCCATCTGCTGAAGTTCTTTCTCCAGCTCTGACATGGCGGCCCAACTCTGTTCTTTATAGTCTTCCGCCAGCCTAACGGCACACAATCAACATTTAAATAACTGTAATATATTTTATTACAGCAACAATGTATATAATTACATTTTTTTAAATATTACATATTACATATTAACAACATTTATGTATTAAATTTTATATGAAATATATTTACATGCATTTAATACATCATTAAAACACATTAACAAAATAATAGAAGTGTGTGTGTGTATATATATATATCACATTTTTTATATTTAATAAAAAGTAGTAATATATATATATATATATACAAAATGTATATATTAAGTTTAAATATACAAGTTTATCCAAAGAATTACCATGATTTCTCCAAATTTTAGGTTCCTGTTTGTTTCATTTCTGAATAAGGACTTTTAAAAACCCGCCAAAATAAAAGTTTGCTGATTTTAGGTTTGAAAATGTTGAAAATTCATATTTAAAACAAAAAAATAAATAAAAAAATAAATAAAAGATAGAAAAAAGTAAGAAAGAAAAAAAATTTAAATATTA